CTGTTTCTTTTACCTTAGATTTAGCATCCCTCATTTTGTTCTAAATACCAAAACCATCTGTATAATCTTGGCAAATTGATAGAAGTCCTGTTTGCTTTATTTTTATCTCTGAGCTTGCTGTTAAATTTGTAGGGTTTTCTGTCTCACTGTTTCTGATTATATGAAAGTAAGTTTGTCTCCTTTTGAACACAGGAACAGTATAAAATTACTCTCAGTATCCATTTGAAAATTGCTGCTAGAGAAACTGGATTTTTTTTCCTCTAAAAGATCCTAAACTGCTAAAGAAAAATTCTAACAAACTATTATCAAGTTAATGTGGAAATTTTAATGTATCAGTCTTATGTTAGAAGCTAATATAATGACTGTGGTGTTGGAAACTTCTTTTTAAAAGTGCCATTGTCTTAGCACTGGATATTTTAGTTGAAGATTCTGAAGTAGCATGTTTGTAAGAGAATGGGTGGAGATGAATGGAGAAAACTGAAACTGTATTTTGGTTTGTGAGATAGAGCTGGCTCTTATCAACAGAAAAGTTGAGTTGACTCTTACTCCATTTTTAGTCAAGATTATAGTTAAATGATTCTATTTTTCCTGCAAAAAATAATAACAATAATTTAAGTTGGTGTGGTGGCACATATCAGCATAGTGAAGGCCAAGGCTTGAAGTTGATGAGTTCTGGGCTAGCCTGGCCTATATGTAGTGAGACACTATCCAAACAATTAAAAAAACCTCTTTTTTTTTTTTAATTCTAATAAGCACTAAGATATTCCTGCCCTTCATCTTTCAGTCTTTTTTTTTTTTTCTGGATGTCAGAACTTCGTAATAGAGTTTTATTTAATTTTTTAAGAAATGTAGTGTTGGGAATTGAACCTGGGTACCAGACTTGGTAGGCAAGTATGCTATTATTGAGTGACACCCGCCCACTTTGTATAGTATTTATTCTTGTTGCCTTGTTGGTGATAATTATACCGAAGTTGGATCCATGGGCTGTTGTTTGAAAACCTGCTCTCATTGGTGAATACTTTTCATTCTTCAGCCTTAAGGAGAGATTGAAGTTTCATAGATATTTTAAAAAATAAGATTTTCCCCTTTCTGATTAACTGCTATTTTAATATTTCTTGATCAACCCTCATTTTTTTTTTTTTTTAAAGCCAGGGTCTTGTTAGGTAACTCTGACCAAACTGAAGACTCCCTATATAAAACCAAGGTCAATACTCTTCCTGCCTCACCCTCCTCATGATTGCTGGAATTACAGTAGCAAGATGCCACTCCCTTTGGTTTGGCTTTGTTTGATCAACATTCTTTCGTCTGTAGGCAGTAGAAGCCAAATTTAGCCTAACTCACTAAAAATGGGAATTAATTGCAAGGATACTGGGGACTTCATGGCATTTAGTGATGGAAGAGAAGCCACACCTCTGAAAGGGCCTGAGACACGCCTCACAGTCGGCGGCGCTTGTCTCCGCACCCTGGACCAGCACAGTCCCCTTGCTTCCTACTTGTTCATGTCAGCTCTGTCTCTCTGCACGCTATCTTTCACTGTGGTGGGGCTAGACATGACTTTTGTTTCGTTTGTTGTTTTGAGGCAAGGTCTCCTAATATAACTTGGCTGGCCTGGGATGAGGATAGCCTTGAGATCACAGAGATCCCCCTGCCTCTGGCTCCCAGTACTGGGATTAAAGGCCTGTACCTCTTTGTCAGGCTGTCTTCTGATTCCTAAATTCATATACTGTCTCATGATTCTGTGCTCTCATTCTAAAGCCCGATAAGAGGAAATGTAATACAAGGCGGTGTTCTCTGCCTCGTCTGGTCAGCTATGGCAATTGAAACTACTGCTTCACTGAACGTGACTCTCAACACTAGCTTTGTGGAAAAGGATAGGACATCTAGCTTCCCAAAGACAGGTGTACAATGAACAGACGTTCTAAAAGCTGCTAGTTACAAAAGGATAATAGATGATGAAAAATAAAGTTAATTTTTAAATGAAATTAAGAGAAACCTCTCAGTGTTGTTGCATAATACCAAAGAACTTGAAATAATTCACTCCCAGTTCCTAGGTGATTATTATGAAAGCTATGAACATATCTCTCCCCTTTTCAGGTGAAAACCAGTGGAGGTAGAGGCACCCTTTACCCTCCTGTATAGACTTTATAGTCCAATCATTCTATGAATACCTGTATGTTAATATATATTGTCTTTAATATATTAACTTTTTAAGCATCTCTGAGTCATAGTCTTATTATGTAGCCCCCACTGGCCTTAGACTTGATATGTATGTAACCCAGGCTAGCCTTCAGATTAGATTCTTCCTTATTGGTGTGCTACTGTGTCTAACCTTAGTAAAATTACAATATTCCTTATTTAGCAAGCATTCACTATTGCTTGTGTAATGCCAAGGATTGTGCTATAAAACAAGTTGTACTTTCAGAGAATTCATATTCCGATGGAAAAGAGTAGATGTTCTAAGGGGTCCTTACCGTGTTAGTGTGGTAATCGTATACAGCGTGTGTCTAGTCTTGAAGCCCAAGACTAGAAACTGGCAGACTTGCACGGGGAAGGCACAGAGCAGGCCTCATTTCACTGGATGGAGCTGACCATTTGACCTGTGTGTCCTGCTTGGCGGAGCTGAATTTGAATTTGCAAAGGCACCTGGGGTTATGTAAATGAGAACTCTGTACAATGAAACCCAAGTGAAATTTTTAAACTGTTTAATTTAAGGAAACTGAAATTACACCCTGTTCTTAAGCCTGCCCTTCACATGTCTGAAATTATGGCTGTTTTGAAAAGATAGCTGTAGATCATAGAATACATTCGGTCTTTAGCTTTATGCTCCACCCCCTTTTTATTTTCTTTCCTTTTTTTTTTTTGAGACAGGGTTTCTCTGTATAGCCCTGGCTATCTTGGAACTCACTCTATACACACCAGGTTGGCCTCAAATTCACAAAGATCCACCTATCTCTGCCTCCAAGCCCTAGGATTAAAGGCGTGCGCCACCACTGCCTGACTTGCTTTATACCACTTTTTAGAATAAAATGTCATCAGTAACTTCCTTTTAGATTCTTCTTTTAAAGCTTTTTATTAGTTCTTTGTGAATTTCACATCACGCACCACAATTCCACTTACCACCCCTCCCCTTGTACCCGCCTTCTACCCTTCCAACCTCTGCTGCAACAAAGGAATAAATATCTCATTGTAGAAGCTATAGTGTGTCACAGAGTGTCCCACAGTACACCCTTTTGTCCACATGTCTTTGCTTGCAAAAATAAATGTTCATTGCAATGCCTCATTGGTCTGGTTCGAGGCCTCTGGCTTCTGCTACTCTATCAATCCTGGAACCTCACTGGGACTCCTCTCAGATATCTTGTTTCCCTGTGTCATAGAGATACTGTAGTTTTGGGTCTGTAGGATGGACCCCTTCATGCACTTCAGCAGTTTATTATTGGGGTAGATGTTGGGGTGGACCAATTCAAAGCCCCAGGTTTGGGCCTGAGAGGTATGTGAGTTGGTCAGCCCGCCAGCTCTCTCTCTCTCATGCTCTTGGGGCCAGCTTGCCAGCAGCCCCTGCTATCAGGGCCACCTCTACCTTGCTGCCCAGGCAAGGTGCAGGATCCATTTTCTGAGTGTTGCAGACAGTGAAGGATAGGGCCAGTTCTCCCACTCTCATGACCCCAGGGCTAGCTCTCCTGCCTGCCATAGATAGTGAAGGACAAGAGAGGGAAGGAGGACGTCTTTCCCTAATCTGTGCCACCACCCAGCAGACAAGAGGCAGGGCCTGCTCTCCCAAACTCACACCCTCTGGGGCCACTCAGCTGCATCCCCCATATCCAGGGCCAGGAGTCCCAATGAGGTTCCAGTACTGATAGAGTGGTCCACTACCAGGACCAGCTGTACTGCCTGCTGCCCATGGTAAGGACAAAAGGGAGGGAGGGGCTCTCCCTCACTGATACCACCACCACCATCATCATCATCCAGCAAACAAGAGGCAAGGCCGGCTCTCCCATACTCTTGCCCTCATTCTTGTGCTTACCCACAGCCCCCATATCCAGGGTCATCTCTACTGTGGTGCCCAAGGCCTGCTCTCCCAAGTGCTGCAGTAGGTAAGGGATAGGACCTGCTCTCCCACATTCACACCCTCAGGGCCAATGAACCTGCCACCAGGGTCATCTCTACTGTGTGCCCAGGCGAGGGGTGCAGCTGGTGAGGCATAGAGACAGCTCTCCTGCTCTACAACTCCAGGGCCAGGTTCCCCCACTGCCACAGGTGGTGAAGGGCAAGAAGGGAGGAGGGTATTTCTTCCCTCTCCATGCCTCCCACAGGAGACCAGTGGTAGGACTAGAACTCCCACACGTGTATCCTTGGCACCTGCAACTCAGGAAATGTGCAGAGCCTGCTCTCCTGAGTGCAGCTGGCTAGGGTGGGGTCATTTCCTGTTCTCATGCCCCCAGAGCCAGCTCTCCCATATATCCAGATGAGGGGTGGAGCCAGTTCTGCATATCCCTCAGACATCAGTATGTTTGGTGGTGGTGGTGGGGCGGCATCCCAGACCAGGGATGTCTGCATGTCCTTTGGTGGTAGCAGACTCCTGCTGCTTCAGGGCTATGAATCCAGAAGTGGTCCCTGGTGGCAGCACAGGCCAGGGCTCCACCATGGTCCCAGGTGGTATCACCGGCTACTCACATCAGGTTGTTCCTTGCTACCCCTGAGTTTCTGTTGATTGTCCTGCCTCTTTTCACTGTGCTCACCGCCCTCTGCTTCTCTTTCTCTTCTGTTTCTCCACTATTTACTTGCTTCTCTTAGTGGCACTCTGGGTCTTTGAAGGTCTGAGGTCATCTTAGGAGTGCTATGTCCAGCTTGTGCATTATGGCGCCTGGCAGGGATCATCTTGGGTGTGGTCTACCCCCAACCCCCCAGGCATGTATGGCACCCTACTGGTGGTCATCTCAGGCTAGCTCCTTGTCTGGGCCCCCTGGCAGCAGACAGGTAGTCCTCTCAGGCTTGCTTTTTTCAGTGTTAGGCTACTGATCTTCAGATGTCCATAGGTCGGAACACTGAGTGCAGACACAGCCTCTCTCCTCTCTGCCACCTACTGATGTGTATGTGACACGGCAGCCACATCTGCAGTGCCCCTAGGGGCAGGTCTTTTAGATTCTTCTATCAGAATTTTCTAGAAATTGGTTGATTGGGTTCTTAGTTTTCTTTTATAATTATGTTTCCTGTTTACACATAAGCCTTAGTAGAATGGGAAGTACTGAAACCGAGAGAATTTATAAAATTTATAGAGAGCATAATTCATATCAAAGTAAATTTTGAAAAAGGTGGAAAAATGCTGTAAATGATATGTACCTAATGTATGTATCTATTGAAAACGATATATACCTAGAGGTAACTCTAAAATGAACTTTAACACTAAAAAGTTATAACTTTAGAGAAAAGGTCATACAGAGGCTATTTTGGTCTCTTGGTATTTTGTTTGTTTTCATTTTGTTTCAAATCTTCCTACTTTAACCTCTTGCATGCTGGCTTTACAGGTGTGTACTATCATACTGGTCCCACGCGATATTCCTTTATATCATCCCCTTGTGGAGCTGCACCTACCATTGTGCAAAAATCCGTGCAGAAGGATGCTTTGTGCCTCACTCCCGGCACTCACGCACGCACACACGCACGCACGCACACACACAAAAGCCCAGGTTTATTATCTGAGAAGTGACAAAGAGCACTCGTGTGTGTGTGTGTGTGTGTGTGTGTATGTGTGTGTTCATGTGTTTCAGCATGAAGAACAGACTCCAAAACACCGTCATTGTCATCCAAGTCAGAAATTGTGGCTTTTTCTTCCTCAACACAGAATTAAAAACTATTTAACTTCTCTCACTTTAATCCTTAAGGTGTGCTTCATCACCTTGTTCACATTATTTGAATTATATGTAAACGTACCTTGCGTGTTTGGTTAGTTGGATTTTGAGATAGGGTTACTTTTTGAAGTGACAGCCGGCCTCTTGCTTCCACCTCCTAAGGGCTGAAGTCACAGGCGTGTGCTGCCCTGCTTGTCTTCAGATGCCCTTCTGACAGTGTGTAGGACGGAGGTGATGCGTAGAGGTGGGACTGTGGTCTGTTTCTCCTATTGCTATACACTGCCTTGCCGTCTCTTACCGCCTGACGCCTCTTTCTTTGCAGACCTCAAGCCTGCACTGTGTTCCTCCTCACTTCTCTGTCTTCCTGGTTAGACTGCTCACTTCCCATGTTGTTTGTTTACCTTTCTGACTTGCCTGCTAAGCCCCCCCCCCCGTGAGGCAGCCACACCATTTCGTCTTTGTGCTGTCATTTCCAGCGTGGCACGTGGTAGGAGTCTTCATTGTAAACAGGAGTCAGCTCTGGTCAACTGAAGCAAGAGACAATGAATTTGTCAGAAAGATATTACTTATTTTGGAGAACTGACTACAAGTGTGGAGAGCTACATGTTGAGGAAAACACAGGAAACAAATCTCAGGCAAGACCATAGCCAGACTGAAAAGCCATAGTATCCTTCCCCCAAGATGTCATTCATTGATGTTCTTGTCACTGGGCGCACTATGCCACTGATTTAAGAAGTGAGTGTGTATTTGGCTTATAAACAATAGAAATTGTTTTCATACTTCTGACTATTGAGTGTCCAGAGTTATGATTAAGTTATAGTGGGAGAGTCTTCTTGTGTGTGACAGACTGCCAAGTCATATCCACACTTTACCCAAAGAACCCTAAGAATGGATTCTAGCCTATCCTTGCAGTGCTGAACCTCAATTTAAATTCTTCAAGAGTGCATTGAATTGACTGGCCAGTGTGCCAGAGTATGGCAAACAAGTATCTGGCCTTGACGGTCAAGTTTCTGTGATTGGTTCTAGATTCTACTTTCTTTCCAGACACACATGACAGGTTCTCTAAGCAGAGGGAGTGGCTGGCTCAGGTCTGGGCAATGAGAAGCAAAACTGGCATCTATCTATTTCAGTAGCCATCCGATGAGTGAGTAAGAGCCAGAGCCATGATACCTCATCCCTAAGCCTTTTCATCATCAAACATTCAAGTATGGTCACCAGTGTTGCTCAAACCCAAATCGTTGCAGAGCTGTAAGATAAGCAAAGGATAAGCAAAGCCGTCCCTTGGTATCTAGTTATTTAATGTACGTCACTTGCCTTTGTGTGTAGTGTCTGAGTAGAAGCTTTGGTTTACCTGGAATTGGACACTGGATGAACTGTGACTTGAACTCTGCTCAGATGATTCTAGAGCACACAACTGCTGTGTTAGAAAAGTAAGCCGATTTACCCATTTCTAAGCTGCCTTATAAGGTTTTACAATATATAAGGTTTTGCAATAACCAATTTTAGAAAACTGAACATGCATATACCTGTGTGTTAGTGATCTTATTCTTGTTTTTTTAAGTATGCATTTATATGTCAAAGGATATATGCAGTAACTTCTGTCCAAGACAGTAGCCTAACACTGGAAACAAACCAGATGTCTACTAACAAAAGAGTAGATAAGTAAAGTTATTCAGAATTGTTTAAAAATTGTCATTAAGATGAAAATTTATTCAGAAATGGAAATGAACAACCTACTGCTCCATAGAACAAGTGTGGCTAATTCTCCAAAACCCGTCAGGTGAAAGACAAGCCCTTCTCTTTCTCATCTCGCAGCATAGACTACAGGAGTCAGTCCATGTTCCACTTTTATAACGTTCACAGAGAGAGAAATCTAGCATTAGAATTCAAAATGGTGATTCTCCAGAAAAATGGAGGGGCTTTCTGTTCTGGCCATACTCCGTTCTTGACACTAGAGGTATTTATAATGGATAGTGAGGATTCTTGCAGTTGTACCTTCTTTATGTGTGTTACTCTTTAGTTAAAAGGAATCAAAAATGGGCCTGGAGAGATGGCTCAGGGGTTGAGAACACTTATTGCACTTGCAGAAAACTATTGTTTGTCTCCAGCACCCACAGCACCCACACAACGGCTTACACACTCCTGTTTGAGGAAATCTAACACCCTCTGCCGACCTCTGTAGCACCTGGCATGCATGTGGTATACACACATACATAGATCAAGACATTCAAACAATAAAAACAGGCCTGTGTATGGGCTAAACTGGAGAGCAAAACTAAGTGAGCCCCTCAGGTTATGAACTGGGTTTTATCTGCACATCTTTGTGTATTTTAGAAGAGGTTTTAGCATTAATTAGTTCTTCTAGGGCAGTGCATGACACCTACAAGGTTAAGAGCTCACATCATGGATCTGTAAAAAAGACAGGTACATACATAAAAGTTGTTATGTTATACATCTCACCGTGGACAGCACATTTTAACTCTGAGATAGAACCTGGCCTCTAAGATCAGTCTCTCTACTTTGGATCATTTCACACTTTCTCAGTAAGTGGAGAGACGGCGCCATAGCATGCACCAGTTTCCACTCCATTCCCCCGCCTCCTCCCATTAGAGCTCCTCCAAGGATGACTGTGCTTCCTTACTTCCCATGGTCGTCTTCTCACCCCAGTTAGACTCTTCCATCACACCAACACTTTACTGAAATGACCTTGCTCAAGGCCACTGATTGGATCTTTGCTAAATCCAGTGGCTAAGTACCGCTTAGGGTGGGAGTGGTCTGAGTGCTCATGAGTAGAGGGCTGGCTTCATCAGAGTCTCTTCATGGTCTCCTTCTGTCACTGGACTGCTGGGGGCTCTGCGTCTTCATTAGCTTCTCCTCATAGGTATTCATTCTAATCTGTTCATGACACCATCCTAAAATATTGTTAGAAACCATAGTGTGGTTTTGATGTGTATGTGCTTTTAGTCACATCAGCGCTATTTTACCTTGGATTCCCTTCTGGTTTCTTACTGCCCTTACTCAACACTAAATTTCCATGTTTCTACATTTTAGTTTCATAGTTTTTTCTTGCTAAATGATATTCAGTATCTGCCACATTTAAAAATTATCCCTTTAATTATAGCTATCATGGCTTGTTTATCCATTCAACAACTATTAAGTGTTGTTTGTCAGGTACTACTGTCATTGTGTACAGCAGAAAACCTCAAAGAACTTTCACAATATTGTGCAAAGAAAGAGAATTAAGAACAATTTCAGTAAATACAATGTATAGTGTGCTAGATAATAGCTGAGCAGCGGTGCATGCCTTTATCCTCAGCATTAGGAGATAGAGGCGGCACATCTCTGTGAATTCAAGTCCAACCTGGTCTACACAGCAAGTTTCAGGCTATGTAATGAGACTCTGCTACAAAAAAAAAATGTGTGTGTGTGTGTGCGCGTGTGTGTGTGTGTATTTGTGTGTGTGTGCATGTGTGTGTGTGTATTTGTGTGTGTGTGTGCATGTGTGTGTATGTGTGTGTGTGTATGTGTGTGTGTATGTGTGTGTGTATGTGTGTGTGTGTATGTGTGTGTGTGTATTTGTGTGTGTGTATGTGTGTGTGTGTGTATTTGTGTGTGTGTATGTGTGTGTGTATGTGTCTGTGTGTGTATGTGTGTGTGTGTGTATTTGTGTGTGTGTATTTGTGTGTGTGTATGTGTGTGCATTGCTAGAGAGTGAAAACGACAAAACGAGAAAGTTAAGGAAGGAGAGACTGCATCATAACTAGTCCAAATTCAGCCTTTGTATTTTCTAGTGACAATAAATAGAGGACAAGTGTACATGGGTTTGGGCTTAAGGTGGAGGATTGCAAAACATGGATCTCTAGGTAGAGTCATGAAGTGGACAGTTTGGATCTCAGTACCTAGTCATACCTAGTAACATGAATATGAGACTAAACACTTGATTAGACTAGTAGGTATTTGTTTAATAGAAAGGAGATATACTTTGTCTAGGGCTGGAATCAGGATGTTTAGAAAAATCGTCTGTGGGTTGACAAGGTGGCAGGCCTTCTACCAAGCCTGCTGACCTAGGTTCAGTCCCCAGGGCCCACATGGTGAAGGAGAGGACTGACCTCTCCTAGTTGACAGCCCTCCAGATGGGTGAGGGGACGTGAGCATGCTCCCACACTGAATAAAGAAATAAAGTGTAGGGTTTGGTTTGTTTGTTTGTTTTTGTTTTGAAACTAAGCTGGTCTGAGTAGGCCGCAGCATTAAGAGATCTGGGAAGAGGAATCTCAGGCCCTGCTCT